TTAATGAAGGATAAATTGACAAGTATTAACATGTTTAGTTCAGTATTGAGGAGAGAATATCTGAGTTGTAGTGAACCGCTACCGTGTGCTTACTGTGTTGGGTTCACTTTCTTGGGTTCAGTTTATTGTGTTCACTTAACGCGTTCACTCTATCTTGACTACTGTTCATTATATACATACACACATAGATAGATGTAGTGTTAGATAGTAAATAATGAAAAATTAAATAGATAGATGGCAGTTACACACACACACACACACACACACACACACACACACACACACACACAACGAGCCTACAGGAAGCCTCTCAATCAGAGCTGAAAGGCGCCACAACCACAACGAATATTAATGACAAATCTAAATAGGGTTTTTTTATCTGTAATTGAGAGCCATAAATTGGATTACCAACGACCAGACCAGCATAACGAAATGTGTGTTTGGACCAGAGGAGCAAATGGACTCACGACCGGCGATACTGACTGTTGGCTGTGGTGAACGACCGGCGATACTGACTGTTGGCTGTGTCATTGTGTGAAGGTTTGATTATGACGTGAGAAGTGTTATTATTTTTATTATTATAATTATTATTATTAATCATTTAAACGTAGACACGTGAATATATATAAATATATAAATATATATATATATATATATATATATATATATATATATATATATATATATATATATATATATATATATATATATATATATATATATATATATATATATATATATATGTGTGTGTGTGTTCGTCTATCCCAGTAGAACATCAGCAGTTTCCCGCAGACATAAGTAAACCTTGGGATACATAGTTCAACGTTGTCCTCCCTCAGAAGATGAAATTCCAGCCTTACCTCCCACCAACCAGCCGCTTGTTATGGCAGAATTCCTCAAGTTGTCTCTCCATTATATTATATTTGTTAAGTCACAGGCAGCGGGGGTTAAGAGAGAACATAGATATATAAATGATATACAGTGTGTTGCTCTTTATAGTTGAGTGCAGAACGACTCGCAATTCAGCCACGGTTGTCGTTATAGTGAGCTTTGTGTGTGGTGGTGTAGGTTTGGTGGTGCAGTGGTGACAGGTGGTGGTGACATAACTGTGATTCGCTCTTTGGCACAACGATGGAATATTTCTGATTCATAGGATGGATGTACGGATGTTATATGACTGTTATATGTATTTACATACACACACACACACACACACACACACACACACATACACACACATACACACACACACACACACACACACACACACACACACACACACACACACACACACACACACACACATACACACACACACACACACACACACACACACATACACACACACACACACACACGCCATACAAAAGTGATGCGGATATATAAGAAGATAAATGATATAAAACTGTGATACCAATATATACATATATATGTATAAAACAGCAGCAGTAAGCTCACAGAGTACGGTGTTTGATCTTCCACGGTTGTTTGCTCGCATTTCTATGTTATTTGCCAGGCCGTGTTTGCCGTGCCCGTGACCTAAACTGGAACACAGTGGCTGACGAGAGTAAAATATTTTCCGGTTTTTCAGATTTCAATGTATGATTTTTTTTTTTTTTGACAATTTATCTGGTGTTTTTCTTTTGTCAGTGAACGAGTCAGTTGATGAGGCGAGTGAGTGTTTCCATTGATAATTGTGACCAGTGGCAAGTCTATTATTTTGGTGATACAGAGACTTATTTAAGTTGAATCTTGACGGCATGGTTAATAATAATAATAATAATAATAATAATAATAATAATAATAATAATAATAATAATAATAATAATAATAATAATAATAATAATAATAATAATAATAATAACAATAACAACAATAATAATACCCCCAGCTCACACAGTAATCCTGGCATCTATCATCACAATATATTACTATAATGAAACTATCAATACCACTATTCAAACCAATCATGCAAAAACCAATCATGTTAAGAAGAAAAGTTTTATCATGCACATATATCACCATGATACTTAAATAAATGCATCTAACACCACTGAATAAATTTATGCGCATCTCTCACGCTGAAACTTGTCATGCAAAACAATAACATTAGAATGAAAAATAATACCATGCACCACATGTAAGCATTCCTAACCCACCCACCCACCCACCCACCTACTCACTCACTCACTCACACACTCACTCACTCACTCACACACTCACTCACTCACTCACTCGCTATCAACACAATTTGCAATGTCCTCCACTCAACAATCCTTTCCAACACGGTAAAAAATATTCTTGGACAATGTAGTTTAGTTTCATTCTTGTGATGTTATTCTAGAGTCCAGTGTAAATAGAGGAGTTTGACCCGGAAGTAAATAGTGACTTTAGTTTGATAGAGATAAAGGGGAGTATATGAGATTAGGTTAAGTCAGGTTTGTGTTAAGGTTAGATTAAGTTATGTTAGTTTAGGAGTTGATAAGTTAAGTTATATTAAGGTTAGTGAAATCCCTGAACCCTTACTAGCAAATCCCTGAACCCCTATTAGTGAATCCCTGAGCCCTTACTAGCGAATCCCTGAATCCCTACTATTGAATCCCTGAACCATTACCACTCAATCTCTGAACACCTACTAACGAATCCCTGAACCCTTATTAGCGAATCTCTGAGCCCCTCCTACTGAAACCCTGAACCCTTAACAATGAATCCCTGAGCCCCTATTAACGAATCCCTGAGCCCCTACTAGCGAATCCCTGGACCGCTACTAGCGAATCCCTGGACCGCTACTAGCGAATCCCTGGACCGCTACTAGCGAATCCCTGGACCGCTACTAGCGAATCCCTGGATCGCTACTAGCGAATCCCTGGATCGCTACTAGCTATGAATTATTTTTTCAGTGGCAGGTTGTATACAGGTGGATGGCGAGGCTTGTACAGAACAGGACTTACTTGTTATGTCATTACATTATCTTTTTCAACAGTTTTTGGTGATTTCTCTCCCTATTCTTTTTTATCACCCGACCGCTTGTTACGTCTTTGTTCCACTCTTGTTAATACTGGATTTTTGTGTTTTTTGTTATTGTAGTTTTTAACCCTTGGTGGTTTAACTTGTTCCCTTGTTCTCTTGTATTGTGATGTTTGTACCTCTCTCTCTCTCTCTCTCTCTCTCTCTCTCTCTCTCTCTCTCTCTCTCTACTTCACCTCTCTTCCACACTCTTCCTCAACCTCACCCACATCAATCTCTCTCTTCACCCCTCTTCCACACTCTTCCTCCCTTCCACACTCTTCCTCCCCCACCACACTATACCTTCAATAGCCACCAATTCACCCTCTAAGTGCTTGTTAAAAGAATGCCGTCCAATTTTATGAAGCTTCTTGGTGGTGAACGATACATTATGGTGTCTGGCTGGAGCTACCGTCATCATTAGTGTGTGACAGATGACCTCCCCAGGATCCCTACCCCAGGACTCTAACCTCTCCCCCTCCCCCAGGACACCTTCCCTCCCTCCCCAGGACCCTTTCCTCCCTTCCCCAAGACCATTTTCCTTTCCTTCCCCCAGAACCTCTTTCCGCTCTCTCCCCCTCCCCCAGGACTCTCCCCTCCCCAGGACCCACCCTCCCCTTCACCAGCCCCACTTCCCCTCCCCCCCTATGTTCCGAGCACGGGTCATGAAGTTATGAAGTTCACGCTCTTCTGTCTTCTGATTGGTTCAAAATCTATCCCGTCTGTGTACTGATTGGCTCACCACTATTCCATCTGTGCGCTGATTGGGTCACCACTATTTCATCTGTCTGCTGATTGGGTCACCCACTGTCTCGTCTAGTTGCTGATTGGCTCTCCACCTATCCCGTCTGTCTGCTGATTGGCTCACCACCTGTCTCGTCTGTGTGCTGATTGGCTCCTCCGTAGTGTCGACAGGTAATTTTCACCCTCACAACTACCGGATATTACCTTGCGTTCTGACGCGTGCGTGTGACTCTGACTTCGGCTTTATATAGACCTCGTCTCCACCGGTTTATCATCCCGGTCGGAACGCATTCGGAGACGTGCATTAATCTCCACAGTGTCACCGGCGACTGATGATTATTCAGTTTTAGGGAACGACCTGCCAAAGGTATTATGTGTACCTCCATCAGCAGCTCTATGTGTGTATGACCTGTTTCCATCAACTCACACACACTAACTCATTTATCACCTCACTGGTTCATTCAATGACTGACTCACTCATTCATTTAATTACTTAGTCGTTCAGTCATTGATGATTGATTCACTCCCTGACACTAACCACCGCTGCTGTCTCAATCGTCCATGACAGATCCAAATCTCCAGATACCCGAATAGCCTGAGTGTATATATATAACTATGCATACATGTATAGACTGTATCGTTCATATGCAACATTAAAACTTGCCTCCAGTGATGATCTCCGCGGCGACACGGACCACTTAGCGCGTGTAAATGAAAACAACTCTCGTGTACCGCTTCAAGGAGAGAGAGAGAGAGAGAGAGAGAGAGAGAGAGAGAGAGAGACTTGGTACTGTCGATACTTTACACTACTTTAATACTTTTTCTTCAGGACCTTGAAAGTTTCCAAAGTTGTGATACGTATTTCCTTCGACACACATTCTACTTTTAATTTACTCTCAGTACTCTTTAAATATTTTGAAGTGTCAATTAAATATAAATTGTATAAAAAAAATTAATTGGATATAATAATGTATTTGCCTCATTATTTTGCTATATATTATGATAATTAATAGTATATAAAGGATACATACCGGTAGTCGTTACTTCCATAATGTACATTTAATAATATATAAACGAAAGACAACTAAGACATTTTTTTACATGTTATTGTAAGTGTTTACACAGTGTGTGTTAACAGCCTCAACTGCCGGGTCATTACTGCCTCTAATAATATTCTCGGCGGTCAGGTGTTTTAGATGCTTCACATTCTTGGGTCAGTGTAGCTCCTAACAACAGTTTTCGTGTTTCAGGAAACAGCAACGTGAGCGAGGCAGCATCAACGTTGACGATGGGGACCCCGAGGCGTCGTTCAACATGACGGCGCCCTTCGGGGACACACTAGGAGTCGGCGGCGGCAGCACAACTCTTCTGGTGCCCTGGGACGTAGGGCCCACTAGGCTCAACGATCCTTCCATCAGCTACCTGAACGCTTCCTCCGACCTCTGGGGGGACAACGCCACCTGCTGGGGCAACGGCTCCCTTGAGTGCGCCCTGGCTAACATCACAGCCACGGAGGGCGGCACCACCATCCTGCCGCCCTTCGAGCTCTGGCAGACGGTGTTGATCGCCATCTGTCTGGCCTGCTGTATGATCCTAACCGTTGGAGGTAACCTGCTGGTGTTGCTCTCGTTCATCGTGGAGCGCGCCATCCGCCAACCCTCCAACTACTTCATCGCCTCCTTGGCCATGACCGATGTGATCATTGGGTCGGTTTCAATGCCGTTCTACACCGTGTACGTGTTGATGGGGGAGTGGACGCTAGGACCCATCTTGTGTGATCTGTGGCTCTCAGTGGACTACACCGTGTGCCTCGCCTCGCAGTACACAGTGCTACTCATCACCATCGACCGTTTCTGTTCCGTCAAGATCGCTGCTAAATACCGCGGTTGGCGGACGCGGACGAAGGTGATGGTGATGGTAGCGATGGTGTGGATCGTCCCGGCGTTACTCTTCTTCATCAGTATCTTCGGATGGGAACATTTCGTGGGTTATCGCTCACTGTTGCACAACGAGTGCGAGGTGCAGTTCTTACGGGACCCGGTCTTCAACACGGCTCTTATCGTCACCTACTACTGGGTCACTCTTGTCGTCCTGTTCGTCCTCTATGCTGGTATATATAAAACAGCTTATGACATGCAAAAAAAGTCAGAAGCCAAACATCGGAAAATGCAGACGCTGGTGGCTTTGAGCGCCGGTGGTATGGCCGGTATGGCGGGTCGCACCGCCGGCCTAGGCATGAGCAAGACACAGAGCACCTTACTTAGTCAAGACAAGCCGCAGCCTGGCCCTCCCCCTGTCATTAACACAACTACACAGGCGCCGCAGGGAGGATCCGGTGTCAGCGACTCGTCGTCGAGTCAAAAAACTTCCTCTAAAACAACAGAAACGACGAGTTTTTCAGAGCGTCGTGGAGAACAAGCTGAAAAATCAGAACGATCGAGCAGTCCGGCCTTTGACTCTGACGAGGAAAGTAGTCAGGTGCCACTACCACGGAAAGCAGGTCTACCTAATAGCACGGTGCCGCGCCTTGACCCTCCGCCACAGCACCGCAAGACACCAACCACAGACACCCTTCCGAAGATCCCTGAACAGAGTGTCCTGGACACCTCCACCACGTTAGAGGGCAGCTCCTCCTCGGACACCGGCATCGGAGCTCTGGCCGTGTCGCTGGCACGGTCTCTGCCCTTACACGACCACCACCATCACTCACCCAGGAATAAACCCATACTGCCTGATGTGGCTCTGCGCGAGGCCAGTTTGCAGGGCTCAGGGCTGCTGGACATAACGCTTGGGGCGGCCACCACACCGCTGGCCAAGCGAATGTCTGGAGAATTTTCAAAAAATGACGACGACGACAACAGTGGACACTCAGATGAGACCCTGAGCGTGCAGTCTAGCGGAGATCCAACACCACCCACCAAGCCCCAGCAGCCTCTTCATCCTACTTCACTGCCTCTTAGACCCATCAGTACCGTGCCTATCCTACCTCTAGCGGCCTCCACGCCCACCGACCTCTTAGATGAGAGAGTTATAGCTCCACCAGCTATGTTCGCTGACAGTATGAGTGTTAGTAGTATCTGTACCACGCGACCCCCATCATCATTAAACTACGGCCCCATGGCCTACGATGTTCTCACGGGCTTGGACACGGGTGATTTACGTTTCATGGACGAGTCGTCGATCATCCTTCCATCACCAGTCGTGGAGGACCCACCATCCTCGGTGTGGGCGGCCACCCTACACAGCCCCACCTCGTCCACGGTGCGCTCCCTCACCTCCACGCTCACCACACCTCACAGCATACATCGCAAGATCAGCCGTATGCAGTCACGCTCGGACGAGGAGGATCTGGAGATGAGTATTGAAGAAGCTGACGAATCAGCAGATGCTGACGACGAGTGTTGCGACAAGGACGAGTCTTCTGAACACTCCACAAACGTCTTGGTAACTTCCATCATCCACGCCTGTACCGCTGTCACCAGCCTGGCAGGAACTGATAGGCATAACATCCCTGTTAGTCCGAAGAAAGACACCACAGCAACTGCCCCCACCACCACTGCCACCAACAACAGTAACGCACACAATAACATAGCGACGGCGGCAAATAGTTCCAACAACATGACTTCACCAGCAGTAGTGCCCGCCACGCCTCAGGTCCGGCCAAGAGGGAGTGCGAGCCTGACGGAGGCCGGGCGACCAGGCTCCACGGCGGGCCTCACCAACCAACTCATCACCACCCACAACATCAACTCCAACAAGACGGTGACGAGTGTAGCGAGAACCGAGTCTTCATCACTCATAGAGAGGGACAAGGGGAGCTCGGTGGCCGTCGTGTCCGACGCCCAGAGCTCCGTCAAGGGTTCACTGAAGGGTTCCAGGAAGGGCATCGTCAAGTCTTTCCGCAGCTTAAAGAAGAAGAAGAAAAAGAGTGAAGGGGAAAAGCGACATCGTTCTAAATCGGAAAATAGAGCCAATAAAGCCTTAAGAACGATATCCATCATCCTGGGCGCCTTTGTGGCCTGCTGGACGCCCTACCACATCTTGGCCATCGCCGAGGGCTTCTGCCAGTGCACCAACACCCACGTCTACATGTTCGCGTACTTCCTCTGCTACGCCAACAGCCCCATCAACCCCTTCTGTTACGCCCTCGCCAACCAGCAGTTCAAGAAGACTTTCATGCGAATTCTCAAAGGTGATTTACACATAACGTAACGCCATGGTACGATAGACTGTATCGTTGATATTTACTCAATTATCTGTGATATCTGTAGAGACCATCTGAGTGCGGCGTGTGTGGTGGTCAGTGCGTTGTGTACGAGGCGTGAGTGTTGCTACCAGTGTTCGGTACGAGGCGCGCACCAGAACCTCGGGGTGGGTGGGTGCGCTGCTCAGTGCGTCACAGTACAATGTGTATAGTGAGCAGAGTGGTGTGTCCGTGTTCCGGTGTGGTATAAAAGAGCCTCAACATAGTGTAGTTATACCCGTGTAATATGAACACATCCGAGTGCAACGAGTACTGTACATGTTCTAGTACTGTGTGCACACCCTACAACATTGTGCACATATGTCTAGGTACTGTGTACACTACAATAGTGTGCGTACATCTCTAGGTACTGTGTGCACATGTCTGGGTACTGTGTGCACACCTTCCAGTACTGCACAGACATGCCTCAAGAATGTGTACACATCCCATAGCGCTGTGTATTCATGCCTTAGTAGTGTGCGTGTACCAGCATCACGTGTACATGTCCGAGGGCTTGAAGACATCCTCTGTGGCCTGCCACCACCAGTGCAGTAAGACCATCAATTGAGGCGTCTGTCTCTATCGTCATTCCAAAGGTTCATAACCTCGTGTAACGTGTACTACGTCATTACACGCGTACATTAAAGTACAACTGCACATATCTAACTATTAAGTACACCGGTTATAGTGTTCGCACCAGCCTCCTCGATGTCAATTCGTGGCGTAGAGAATGAACATTGTATGTAAAAAAACATCAGTATTTTTCGTCATCGTGGACGGACTCGGGTTATGAGAGTTGGTTCAAAGTTACAGAGGAGACGACGGGAGTGACGGAGGAAATCTAATATAAACAAAAACTGATTCTATTTTGTCCCGTCTGCAGGAGAACGTGTGGTCTGCTTTGTTATGTAAAGGAATTTCAGGGGCAAAAACAAACAAACAAAAAACACACAACATATGATCATACTATTGTCTTAGTGTTTGAATCAAATGTCGACCCGCTTCACTTTGCTTCAGAACCCTGTTTCATTGGGCGCACTTCTTTGCTTTGCTGATCCTCCGACAACTAGACTACAACTTGATGTCTCGAAACCAGAGCAAGAAACTGCTGTTTTATTCTCGTGAAGCTGCTGTGAGCGGCGGGAGACCTTCTACATTTGTAATACTGTGTCAAACTATTTCAAAAGAAGCTCAATTTTTGTGTGGCAGTTGTCAGGAATTGATTGTTATTTTGGTAAGGATTCTTAATGCTAACGAAAACGATGGACGCTCTCCAATAAGGACTTTACTAACTATTGTGTACACTACATTCCTTCCTTATCTTGGTGGCGACGTCTGTTGAGTTGGATAAGCCAGCCAATCAGCAGGCGCCTCTGTCGACCAATCAGCAGTAGGCTGTTGTCGTCATTCATCTCTCTAGTCAGTCAAAAAAATTGTATTCAACAAAGTCCATCTCCATAGTTACGAGACCATGTTTGTGCCACTCTTCAGTTCCTTGTATTAAAAAAAAGAAAGAACTGTAGGACCATGAGTGAATGTCTGTTTGGGTGCTTGTATGCAGGTTGACCAGAATTGTATTGATATATATACTGTATATATATATAAAGGACAAAGTGTATTATAAGATGAGCACCATAAATAGCATAGCGCCTTGGGAAGAACAGTTTTGTCAAAAAAAAAATGTATATTAAATGAGTTCTTCCAAAGCCTTTTTTTTCGTCGTGGAGCGAAAAAAAGGGCAGCTTTGAGATGTTTCTTTTTAAGACAAAGGTTCAGTATTTTTCACTCGATATAACACAACACGCGTACAGTACAGTATAAGAATAACTACATTTTATATTCGCCGAGATACTCTATAATGACTGTATGTTGTATGATGTATTCAAACGTGACGCTAGTTGTAAGGCCTGTCATTATGATCATTATGAATACTCATCACCCAGTTCCACATCACCAGAAGAGAGAGAGAGAGAGAAAGAGAGAGAGAGAGAGAGAAAGAGAGAGAGAGAAAGAGAGAGAGAGAGAAAGAGAGAGAGAGAGAGAGTTGGCTTCTCTCTAACGTTCTCTCATTTTATAAATATATATATAAATACATACATATACATATATTCCCAATTTCGGCGCATTTATTAAAAATCGCCAACTGGGCCGCCATAACTGTGCTGTAGAGAACTGTACTTAGGTCGCCATAACACAGAGGCTCCTCACCATCTTTAAGTCTCACCCTTAGCTTGTACATAGTGTTAGTAAAGACACCATCATATCCCCTTTCTCCTTCACCCACCAGACTATTACTTGATGCTCAGGAACCTCTTCGTGCGGCGACTGTCACTTTTTTCTTTTTTTGGTGCGTGTGGTGATGACGTCACGTTCCCGCCAGCTTGGGAAGATTTGGCGCGCGTTTTGTAGTGATGTGGATTTGGCGCGACGGTTTTTAGGTAAATCCTGACGCCGACTCCACCTCACTCCTTGAGCCCAACAAGATGCGCTACTGACATCTCTCCCGTCTACTCCCGCCGCCTAACATAACCCAAACCTCATCCTTATCTATCCTACTGTGTCCTATCACGTCATATCTCGACCTATCCTATTTTATTCCTTCTATTCATCTGATATTTATTTTTATTCATATTGTAAACATTGTAAAGACATTTCCATTTTCTAATATATCAGTCAAGTCATATCATGTGTCGCGTCTCGAGTCCCCATTTAAGGAGGTAGGAGAGAGAGCGAGAGAAGGGGGGACAAAGAGCGAGAAGGATAGAGAGAGAGAGAGAGAGGGACGGATGAAGGGAGGGAGGGAGGGAGGGAGGGAGAGAGAAACAGACAGAGGGAGGGACGGATGAAGGGAGGGAGGGAGGGAGGGAGAGAGAGAGATCATGACTTTAGGGGATCTGATTGGCTATAATTTCGCCATTCACTTGTTCCCCTTCACTGTGTGTCATGAAGATCCTCAACATATTGGAATAAATGACTAAAAGTGGCGTAGGAATCCCAATATGGCAGAGAGGAGAAAGAAGAAGAATATTTCACATCCTCTCATTTTTTGGACTAAATTCATCTCTCTTTCAGTAGTTACAGGATTATTACACTGGGGATATTAACTCACTCCCTCACCCCTCCCCCATCCTCCCTCACCCGTACCTCACCCCTTATATCCTTCGCCCCTCCCTTCCTCCCTCACCTCCTCCCTCCCCATCCTCCCTCACCCTACCTCACCCCTTATATCCTTCGCCCCTCCCTCCCTCACCCCTCCCCCATCCTCCCTCACCCCTCCCTCACCCTCCCTCACCCCAGATCTTAGTGAGAAGGGAGAGACAGGGTATTACAATAGGTGTGTCAAGGTCAATCATTCTCACGACACATAAGGAAAACTCCACATCTGTTATTTTCTCTTCTTCGTAATGGGGATTTAAGAGGTGTACATTACATATCAACAGTTCATGAATAACACTCAGAGTCATTCATTTATTCATCCTGTGTTTCTCATATCATACCATCTATTTTCTTTAGTCTGTCCTCCCAGATGATTGAAATTCCCAGAGTAAAAATATCAAAAGCGTCCGTGTGTGTGTGTGTGTGTGTGTGTGTGAGTATGTGTGACTGTGTACATGTCTGTGTCTGTTTACGTATGTGTGTGTAAGTATGTGAGTATGTCTGTATGTGTGCGTGTGTGTGTGTATTTCAGGGCAAGTCAGGGAGCCGGAGTAGGAGGAAGGTGGCCGTGACGTCATCACACTGTTGCTAATTACTATTTTTTTTCCCAGGTAGTTTTTAATTCATTTTATTTCCTTCCCTCGCCTCAGACACCTGTGAGTGGGTGAGACGAGGAGAACTATTGTGTATACTTTGTTTGTATGTATATAGATGCCGCCAGCCTCAATCAGTATAAAGACAAAATATATATGTCATTGTTATGCCCAGTCAGTGTTTCTTTTATATCCTTTGTCCATCCTAGAAATAAAAATACAACTGACTATTATCTACGTCATAGCCAGTGTTTCTTTATATCCTTTGTTCATCCTAGTAAAAAAAATATTCAGGACATTTGTAAAAGATCGAATATAAAAAATGTCATTGAATGTTTATATATGTTAAAACCTAAACATTCTTTTTGGATGTTTTTTGTTAAAGAAGAAGAGTAATGTGAAAGTGAAACACAAACGTGAAAAATTAAACCAAACTTCACAAAGATATAAACAAAATTAAAACAAATTAACAAAAATATGAATAATAAAACTAAAATGAAACCAATGAAAAAACTAAACCATTATGTGAAAACTTGAAAATTAAACTGAAATTAGATGTGAAAATAAATTAACATAGACAAAAAAAAGTGAAAAACTAAAATATGGATAAACCAAATGTGAAAAATAAACCCAAACTAAACCAAGACAAAACAGACGTCTTAAACAAAATTAATAAACATAGACTTAACCAATCATACACAAGAAGACTTAAGACTTAACCAATCATACACAAGAAGACTTAAGACTTAACCAATCATACACAAGAAGACTTAAGACTTAACCAATCATACACAAGAAGACTTAAGACTTAACCAATCATACACAAGAAGACTTAAGACTTAACCAATCATACACAAGAAGACTTAAGACTTAACCAATCAAACACAAGAAGACTTAAGACTTAACCAATCATCACAAGAAGACTTAAGACTTAACCAATCATACACAAGAAGACTTAAGACTTAACCAATCATACTACAAAGACTTAAGACTTAACCAATCATACACAAAGACTTAAGACTTAACCAATCATACACAAGACTTAAGACTTAACCAATCATACAAGAAGACTTAAGACTTAACCAATCTACACAAGACTTAAGACTTAACCAATCATACACAAGAGAGACTTAAGAAGACTTAACCAACCAATCATACACAAGAAGACTTAACTTAACCAATCATACACAAGAAGACTTAAGACTTAACCAATCATACACAAGAAGACTTAAGACTTAACCAATCATACACAAGAAGACTTAAGACTTAACCAATCATACACAAGAAGACTTAAGACTTAACCAATCATACACAAGAAGACTTAAGACTTAACCAATCATACACAAGAAGACTTAAGGACTTAACCAATCATACACAAGAAGACTTAAGACTTAACCAATCATACACAAGAAGACTTAAGACTTAACCAATCATACACAAGAAGACTTAAGACTTAACCAATCATACACAAGAAGACTTAAGACTTAACCAATCATACACAAGAAGACTTAAGACTTAACCAAGCAAACACAAGAAGACTTAAGACTTAACCAATCATACACAAGAAGACTTAAAGACTTAACCAATCAAACACAAGAAGACTTAAGACTTAACCAATCAAACAGATCATAATCCATGCTAATCCAAACACAGTGTATGATTATCAGAAAACAAAATAACTCCAAAGATTGATTAGAAAAATATTAGGAAAAAAACACACACACACAAACTACCTGGAGCGAAGTATCCAAACATTATCCTAACATTATCCAAACAGTATCCAAACAGTATCCAAACAGTATCCAAACATTATCCAAACATTATCCAAACAGTATCCAAACATTATCCAAACATTATCCAAACAGTATCCAAACATTATCCAAACAGTATCCAAACAGTATCTATACGTTATCCAAACAGTATCCAAACAGTATCCAAACATTATCCAAACATTATCCAAACAGTATCCAAACATTATCCAAACAGTATCCAAACAGTATCTATACGTTATCCAAACAGTATCCAAACAGTATCCAAACATTATCCAAACATTATCCAAACAGTATCCAAACAGTATCCAAACGCATTATCCAAACACAAACAGAGGGAGAATAAAACCAAAATAACTTGGAGATTGGTAAGGAAATGTAAGAAGGAAAGATAAGTTGAATAAAAGAGAGAAGACGAGCCTCAGCTTCACAAGAATCTCCCTACCACAAAATTAACTTTGATCAAATGGCTCCTGATTGGCCGAGCTTATTAAACCGACCAATCAGGGACCGCTTTTAACGTCAGCGATCACGTGATAACCTATCCATCCGATTAGGCATTCATCTCCCGAACACCGCCTAAGTATAGAGAGGAAGACGGGATATCCCTAGTGAGGAAGAGGCTGTGGAGGTGGGGCGAGGTGAGGAAGAGGCTGTGGAGGTGGGGCGAGGTGAGGAAGAGGTGGAAGGGGAAGAGAGAGAGAGAGAGGAAAGACAGTGGGGCCAAAGAGTGGTAGAGGAGGGAGGAAGAGAGAGAGAGGGTAAGAGATGCTTTATTCTATATACGAGTTACTTGTGTATAAACGTACCATTGAAAGCAAACATTATACAAACACCGTATTTAAGAGATGTGTAAACATCTCTGGGATAAACAAACTTACTAAATAATACAAGTTAAGAAAATACCAAAATATTATTATCAAGATGGATAAAAAGTAAAAATACAAAATACAAAGAGTATAACTAATTGATTTACGATGTTAAAGGTGTATGAACCAGCCCAGAGGTGATTAGCGGGGTAACTGTTGTAGTGCAGACGGTGAGTTGTGAGACAACAGGGTGACGGCGGTGGAGGCCAGTACTGTCAAGAGGCGACGGCTGCTGAGTGATCAAGACCACCAGCAGACTTACTGAGCAGACCACTTACTGAGGAACACAACACTACCAGTATTACTGAGTAGACCACTTACTGACCAGACCACTTACTGAGGAACATACTACCAGCAGACTTACTGAGTAGACCACTTACTGAGGAACACAACACTACCAGCATTACTGAGTAGACCACTTACTGACCAGACCACTTACTGAGGAACACGACACTACCAGCAGACTTACTGAGTAGACCACTTACTGAGGAACACAACACTACCAGCATTACTGAGTAGACCACTTACTGACCAGACCACTTACTGAGAACACACTACCAGAGACTTACTGAGCAGACCACTTACCAGACCACTTACTGACACACTACCAGCAGACTTACTGAGACCACTTACTGAGGAACACGACACTACCAGCATTACTGAGTAGACCACTGCTGAGAAACGCACTACCAGCATTACAAGGTAGACCACTTACTGACCAGACCACTTACTGACACACTACCAGCAGACTTACTGGCAGACCGCCTGAGACACGACACTCCAGCATAGGTAGACCCTTGACCAGACCACTTACTGGGAACACACTACCAGCAGACTTACTGAGTAGACCACTTACTGAGGAACACAAGACTACCAGCATTACTGAGTAGACCACTTACTGACCAGACCACTTACTGAGGAACACGACACTACCAGCAGACTTACTGAGTAGACCACTTACTGAGAAACACAACACTACCAGCATTACTGAGTAGACCACTTACAGAGCAGACCACTTACTGAGGAACACAACACTACCAGCATTACTGAGTAGACCACTTACTGACCAGACCACTTACTGAGGAACACGACACTACCAGCAGACTTACTGAGTAGACCACTTACTGAGGAACACAACACTACCAGCATTACTGAGTAGACCACTTACTGACCAGACCACTTACTGAGGAACATAACATTACCACCTGATTTACACTTATATATTTACCAGTTCTGTAAATATATCGTGTACTACAACATCAACAAGTGTAAATATAAAGCAAACATTGACTGAAGCACACATGGAAGACCCAGACCTGTAGTGAACCTGTATCACACATGGAAGACCGAGACCTGTATTGAACCTGTACCAGAACACAGGACTGAAGCACACAT